ATAATGATGCATACTGTAAACAATAATGTGAATTTTAATAACTCCACAGTTGAGCATTCATCCTATCCAGTGGTTAGCATGCTGTGGGTAAATATGGAATCGGGTTACATTTCTAAGATACTTTTTTAATTTACAATTTTACTTTCTCCTTAATACAGCACTTTGGATTTTTTTTTTATATTTACAGTTTTTTATGTACAACAGTAAAAACAAAAAGACAATTCAAGAGCAGCCAGGCACTGTTTGTTTAGATGATGTGGGAATCTGGTTCTGATCTTTGTGACTTCTGCTTTTCTGCAGGAGGTCAGTTGCCCTCACACAACTGTAGACCTGCCTGTTCCTAACTGGAGTTTGGGGGACCCTTTTCCACGATCTAAAGTGGTGTCATTGGAAAGGTGCAGATGAGGCTTCTGGAGCATTGGGTTCAATGCTCTGCTCTGCCGTAGTCCTCCTTCGTGAGTTTGGGATAGTCACTGTTTTACAGTTGCTCATCTGGAAAATGGGAGTTCTGAGGATAAATGTTTTAAAGGTGCTGAAGTGCTCAGCATGTTGCAGGGACAAGGCACCTGAGCAAGCTAACTCATTTTACTGTTTTTAGAGACTATAAAGACACACTGATTGTCAAGTCTTTGTTTTATCCGAAATAGCATTTTTCTGTAGTGAAGGACATTTCTCTCTCTGATGTATTGAATCCCGTAAATGGTGTGAGTGAAGGTAAGCCCTTTTGAACAGCCTGCCATTTCAGTTTAGAGTGCCAGATTGTGGAGAATTTACCTAACATATTCCAAAGGTTAATTACCTAGGCTGCCAAAGTGTTTTCTCTTATTTCCCAGTGGAATTTTTGTAATTTCATCTCTCAACCTTTAGAGCTGGTGATCAAACTGACGGTTAAGATGGCTTTTAGCAATGATGGCATTATATTAGCAGGTGTTTGTGTTCTGAATCTATTTGGTCTGAGAAGTTGTGAGGTATCCTACACAATAAAGACCACAGCCTTTGGCCATCTGCTGTTGTCCCAGTTTCTCTGTGTCTGGGACTGGCATCTCTTTTAGCACCTTCTGCCTCTTTGTTGCTGTTCCCCAGCTGTGGCTCTAGTCAGGTTCTTGCACAGAGGTAGGGAATGTCTGTCTTGCAGGGTATTTTGTAGTCTTTGTATGAACACTGTAATGCATGGCCAGAAATACTTAATCTCCCAAGATGAGATTTGAAAGTGGTTCTGCTGTGTTTTGCGAAGTGCTGTAATTTACCAATTTCCAGCGGTGACATCTTGGAGATGATGGTGTGCTTGGAGAAGCACAGATTTTGGCTGTATCGCTTGCTAAAAGATGAAAAATACTGAGAAGAATCTGAAGAATACTATTTCAAAACAGTTCTGGATAACTTAATCATTCATGATTTCTGAAAAGGAAACCTAGTGGCAATGGCAGGGGGCTAACTGGACATACTCTGTATCGTGGTTGCTGGGTTTTCCCGATTCTTTTGCAGATGTTGGGGAAATGTGGTTTTCACGTGAAAGCTGTAAGTGAAGAAAAGGATCATGGTATCACAGCCAGTTAATGCAGAATTACAAAATGTCTTATTCCAGTACATTGTTTTGTCTTTACTTCTTGCTTTTAATACATACATAATTGCAAATTTAATTCAACATCGAATAATCCGTACTAGTAATTTTTTTCCTAATTTGCCAGTTAGAATACACCTTCTGTTTTGCTTGCCAATCAAATTTATTTCATAAAAGAATTTATTTTCATAATTATTGAACTTTTTGGTTGTAGTGAGATACTAATGTCTGGAAGAGGATGTAGTTTCTTTAGGTTGTCACATTATTTTTAATATAACTTAATTTTGAACTATTATGATAAACATGTATTATGAGAGAACTAGCCTTTGCCTCAGTAAGAAGTATATAAAATAACCAAGACAATAAGGCAATGGAGTCAGGAAGTAGGATACGAAGCCTAAGTAATACCAACATTCCTTTTTTAATATACCTGTGGTAAGAACTGAAATCAGTCATATTTAAATAGGAGCTTTGGCAAGCACTCTAAAAATACTTTCACTGTGGAATGTGTTAAGTAGAAGTTCCATTAAAAACTCTAAGCTTGAAATTGCTAATGATAAACCTTAAGGAAGTTAATAAATGCTGACAATAGTTCTACTGTATGGAAGTTACATTTGGACATTTGAAATCAGTAACTTGTGCCTCTCTGTGATCAGCCCTGGAGACAGGTGGTTCTTCTGAGTTACTGTAGAGATTTCCTGGAAGTATTCGTAAGTGACCAGAAATGGCTGGTATTTAAAAGAGTGATTTAATGGCTGAGCAGAATTTTTTGGGTGGCTCCTCTTCTGTGGTCTTGGAATCATCAGCACCTGCTTCTCCAAACCAGCTGCGGTTACAATCTCTGTCTGTCTCCATTGCAGAAGTGTTTTCAAACTGATTCATCTGGAGCTGTTAGCTGAAAGACAAAAGCCATTTTAACACAAATGTGGGTAGATAAGGTGTTTATTTTTCCCTGTTGTTATCTGAGCACTGGTAGTCCTCTAATGGTTTCCCACAATCCTGTTGAGAGCCTATAAGAATGTTTTCCTCCATAATTGTCTAGGAAAGGAATCCCAGAGCAGCAACAAGGAATATGATTTTGGAGGCTGTTAGCAAAACTCCCTTATGAGTGCAGTGCCAATAATGACCTGGTAACCAGGGTAGGGCATTGCAGTGTGGCTCCTCCTACCCGGCTGAGGCTAGCTTAGGTATCGGTCACTAAACTTAACTTGGCAGTGAAGACACACTGCTGAGAGAGGCTTCTCGGAATAGTGCCCTCCAGCCTGTGGGCTGCTTCTTGTTCTCTCTTGGGCTTTTGGGTATGAGCACAATGGAGCTCATTGCTGAGGAGCACTGAAAGCTGTGGAAGGCAGAGGGCGCAGTCTCGAGAAGCACGAAGGCTGTTGTCACTGAGTATCTGGTGAGCAAAGGCATGGACATCTCTGGCTCTTTCCAGCTCAACAACTGGAAAAGATTTGAGAGAAAACAATGAAAACAGTGGAAGGTACTTGTTGCTAAAAAGCCCCCGAAGGCCCCAAAAGTCTGTGGCTGTGAAAAGGAGCCTAAAGAAAGTTGAGGAGCCAGTGGCTCGCAAAAGGCTATTGCTGGCAGGGCCAGGCTGCTGGAAAAGCAGCAAAGTCTAACACAGCTGAGTTGAAAATGGCAAAGGCTCAGAAAAGCTGATCTGAAGAAGCAGTAATTTTACTAGAGGAAATACGGAGTGTTTACACGTTCAAATAAACCAAATCTTTCCTTTTTACTTATGCTTTCAGGCTCTTTCAGCAGGCGGAATCAACAGGCAGAGGGTTCTATTACAACGGAGTGGTTCAAAGCTGCCTGGCTTTGCAAGGCACAGACAATGTTGAAATATGCCTGTTTCTCCATCCCGGGCTGTGAAGTAGTGCAAGCTTCACTTCTGTTCTCTAAGCACTGGGTGTGTGCTTGCATGCACGGGCACAGTACTTTAATATGTTTAAAAGCAGTTCACGTCTTGTGGGAACCTCAGAAAATACTGTCTGACAAACAGCTCAGGTCTCAGGTGCTCTGCTGCTGGGGGTGTTTCGTTGAAGCTCATCTACCCTAACACTTTGTTTTTATACCTGTTTGCATCCTCCCTCCCTACATACTGCAGAGACAAATTGGCTTAGCATGAAGGGTGACCAACAGCAACAAATATCTTCATAAAACTACAGCTTTGCACAAGGCGTCTATTACACTGCACCCCAGTTAGGGTGATATATCCAAGGAAGGGCTTATGCGCTTATGTACAAGCATACCCAGTTTAGGCTCCTGAAAAAAGCCATTGCTTTACTAAAGAGAAGCTGACCTGCCTGCCAGGACATGTTGCTTTGAAATATTCCTGCTTAGGCCAAGAACATGCAAGATTCCTTGTAAAAATGGAAGGCCATTAATTTTTTAACCGTTGGCAAAATCAAGCCAATTATTCTTCGAAATTTTGTTAAGCTTTCTGGATTTACGGGAGAGATCCAAGAGCAGACCTCTCAAGTGAAATAACCTAGCCATCGTGGGAGCGCCTTGGGCAGTAAGGCCTTGTTTCTGTACTGTTGTGCCATGAAAGCACAAGGATTGCAGGGAGTTGTGAGCACCTGCTGAAGCTGCTGATGCACTCAAGGTGTTTACAAGGTTTCTGTCTTATAGTTGTCTCCAGTGAATAGCAAGGGAAGTTCATGCTGCAGTCCGAGGGAGGCACATGCGTGCTTCCTCTTGTAGCCAGTCACTCATTTTCACAGACCTTAGAACTGTGTATCTTTGAGACCTCTCCTGCTGTGTTGGAGTTCATATGAAATTGTGAAGGGATTTAAAAATTGATTGGGAGGGATTGATTGAGGGATTGGAGATTGATGGGAGGGAGGAGGCAGCGATGGCAGAGACACATACAGATCCAGGAGCATGGATGAAAATCTTTTCCATGTGACTTTATACCAACAAAATGTAGTAGGAATCCGCAATCTGAAATCCATGCAGGGAGCTGCTCATTTGGATCATTTAGTAATTCATTGTCTTTGCTTTTCATCTGCAGGTTGGATTATTGCTTTAGATGCTATTAGGAGCTGTACCTCTGTCTCCAGATTACATACCATACTGAGACAGTCTGAAAGCTGGAATTTTGGAGTAAATAAAATGGTGTTACAGAAGATAATGTGCTCCAGCTGTTTGGTTATTGTTTTTCCCAACAGTGCTAGAAGATTTCAGAGGATCTGTGAGAAATTGTATCCTGAGGATTTGGTTACTAATCAAAGCACCCTGTGGGGGAGATGGAGCTGAAGTGACTTCTGGCATGTCAGTTCCATTGCTGCCATCTGTGTTTTAAAAATTAGCAACAAAAACACGTTTCACTGGGCTACAGAGTCAAGAAATTTAAACTCCAGTCCTCAGACCATAAAGGTGCGAGTCAAAACAGCTCACTTAGATTTGTTTGTTTGTTTGTTTGTTTTGTTAGGATCTCGTCTCTTTAGTTGTGGAGGAAGAATCTCAGAAATGTGAGAAGAATTCAGGCCTCTGCTTTCCCGTTTCTGTCCCTCGTCCTGTGATCCTGGAAATCGGCTGTGGCTCTGGAGCAATTGCTCTGAGTCTGTTGTGCAAACTGCCACAGGTGAGCTTTTTCCAGTGCTCATGGTACAATAGATGCCCGTGTTACAGGACAATCCCCCTCTACTAGTCTTCATTGAGACTTCACAGACAAACTTCTTTGCTTTGATGGGACTTCAGCAGCTAAGGTCTCTGACAGTCAGGCTCTGTAAGTTCATGCTAGGTGGAAGAGGGATATTTAGGAATTGCTCTGCCCAGCTGTCCGCAGGAGTAGTGGAGACATAGTCAGAATGGAAGAAGCAAATGTGCTCATTCTTCAGCTGTCACAGCTCACTATTAATCACCTTAGCTTGAAGCACTGGTGGGTGTTGGTTTAAGCTAATATCCTGGGCTGTGGACAAGAGGGACCGAGGCGTGGGCACACACTCTATTAGTCGAATTTATGGGGCAGTCATGTCTAAAAATCACCTTGCTGTGAATCAAAAGTTCTTGTCTCTAGGAGACTGAAGACTAAATGAATGCAGGGGAGAGATTACCATGGAAGTGTCAGTACTTGGGATAAATATGACAAGCATATGTCACACTGCCACAACTGCCAAACTACTTTTTTGAAGTCTTTTGTTGCCTGATAACAGCACACACCTTTTGAATAGACTGAAAAGAGCAGGAAGGGGACTGAGATCTGGGTGACCAAAGCCCTTCTTGCCACTGATTATTGTGGCATGTAACACGCTTACTGAGATACTGTTGGTAAACAAAAAGAGAAATGAATCCAAGATCTCATTGCCTGTGGTTAAGCGAAAAATATTTCCCTTTCCTCAGAATTGCAGACCAGCCAGTTTCTTCTCGTGAACGAGAATTGCTGTGGCCAGCCCCTCCTCTTGTAGAAGTATAAGACTTAGTGTGTAAGAATTAGAGGTTGATGCCTGCGTTCCTCCTCCCAGTGGCCTGATAAGGTTAATACTTGAGCTTTATGACTTCGAAGTATAATTACTCTGATTTTCTGAGCTGTACTTCATGCTCTTTTCCTTCCCTGTTAAGTTAAAGAGCTGTGTCAGTCTGTCCCTGTAACTGATAACAGTCCTTTCCCAGCTGACTAACACAAACTGCTGTGCCCAGACAAATAAGGAGCCTTGACTGATTAGAGTTAGTGGTAGCCACACTGGCAGCTAAGCGGAGTTTACACTCTGTGTGATCTCTTTGGTGTTTGAGGCAGAATTTGGCACTAGGGTATTGAGAAAACAATAGCAACTTTTCACTTACGGATTCAGCTGTGTCCTTCGCCTTAAGGGTCAAATTCATCTGTGGGTGCTAGTCTCAGGCTGTGAAATTAATCCCCCTAGGAATGATGGCTGATCACATCATCTCCAAATGCAAAGTAGTTTCTTTGAGCATGCTTTCTCTATGTAAATACTTACCAACATCTGTGTTTAAAAAACATAAGCAAAGCAAAACCAAGTCAGGCCTTTGCCTGCACTTTTTCCAAGGTGGAATGGAAGGTCAAACAAATCTCTAACTGCGTAGTCCTATCTCTTAATGTTACACTGGAGGACTCTCAAATACTTGACACACAGTCAAGTACCCGCAGTCAATACATGCAGTGAATGTGGTCTAAGGACTATAGTGGAGTAACTAGACAAAAGCTGTCTTATCTTGCATGTCCCTTTTGGCAGAGCACGTCTGCTCAGGAACCTTGATGTTGTAATACTTGTTTGTTGTTGTTTTTCCTGTCCCAGAGCCGGGTGATAGCTGTGGATAAAGAGAAAGCTGCTGTGGATCTCACCAGGGAGAATGCACATAGGTACAAACCCATATATTACCCATTTTTTGTAAATTGTTGTGTGAAAAAGACCAAAAGTCCTCAATATTTGGGCATGTGGTTCATGTTTATCGCCACTGGAAACCAGGGGATGTTTCCCTGGTTTCCCTAGGTTGAGCTCCTAAAGCATGTGAGAATTCAGAAAAAAAAATGCTTATATTTACCAGAGTATTTTTTCCTTTGACTTGTGAATGCGCTTTGCAAAGACAGCAGCCTAAATAAAACAATAGTACTTAAATGCTGTCTGTCTTTCAAGGGCTTTCAGAGTGTTTCATTGTAACTACTCTTAGCCCTTTCTGCGAACTTGGGAAACTCAAGGCAGCAGGTAGTAAGAATGTATACATCACTTAGGAGGTTAAGGACAAGTATAGCCTGAACCTTTCTCTCTCTGGCTCCCTATATCATTATTGCTGTGGTTGTTTCTGTTGTTGCTCCTCTAGATACAAGCTTGCACACTCAAATAGCACCTTCATTCTGATGTGCTAGTGTGGTGTCCCTCAGCATCCTCCTTGCAGTCTTGGGTTTGATGAGAATGGTGCTGCTGGGTCCCCTGCTGTTTGCATGACACCTGCACTGTGGCTGGATGTTCACAGCTGCTGAATCATAGAATCATAGAGTAGTTTGGGTTGGAAGGGACCTTTAAAGGTCATCTAGTCCAACCCCCCTGCAGTGAGTCAAGCATCTTGTGCCTGAAGTCAGAACAGCTCTGTATCCGGTTGACCTTGTCCTTCCTAGCGGCACCGCTTCCTCAGCTGGTTCTTCTTAACCCAGGTTATTCTGGACTGTCACTAACATAGCAAGCACCAGAGCTAGAATCTCAGTATGCTTTTGAGTTCAGGATCCCAGTCTCTGTAGACATTTTAAAAGGTACAGAGCTCTATTATGTATTCATATCCTCAGAAACCGCTGGGCTGTAGACATTAATTAGAGCAGTCTTGGAAAGGATTCCTATTGCTACTTCTTATGGAATCTAGTACAGTTGTGATTCTTAAGTGGTGCTCATTAACTGACATTTCTGTCCACAGGGCGCACATATGCTTTTTTCCCAAGCTGCTGCCAGCCTTGGGGCTACAGAGACAGGCTACTTCTGTTTCTGGCTGCACTGAGCTGCATCTCTTCACTTCTTGCAAACCAGTCCCAGCTCTAATGTGAGTCTGAAGTGATGCATAGGAACAAGCCCTTCCCAAACTTGTCACCCTTTGCCTCCTAGTTCAGTTATAGGGAGTGGGGAGCAGAGATTTCCTTCTGATGTGTCAGTGTCAAACCAAGTTCTGTTGCAATTTTTCATAGATATAATAAAAGCAGGCCAGATCTTTGCCTCCTTGGTAGATTATTGCTCTGACATCTGGAAAAAATAGTCTTGTTATTAACATTGCTTGTTGGCTCAAGAGTGGCCAAGGGAGTGTAAATGCAGTGCCAGAGCGCCTCATATTTCTCCATGGATATTTTCATTGTGTCCTTGTGATCTTGTCCATGGCATGGTGCCCTGTAGCTCCTGGGAGAGAAGCCAGTAGGACAAGCTGTGTTACTGCTTGACTGAAGCCAGCTTGGTTCCTGTCTTCTTTTCAGAGCTCCCTTATCACAGCTGTGTTCTCTAGATGCTTAGGTGGGTCTTGCTCTCACTAAATCAATCCCAGTGCCAGATGGCCCATCTGGGCACATTGCAGACAGATGCAGGAATCCCTCCCTTTCTTGATTCCTGTGTATGCTGACAGGGCAGTACGACAGGCCCTCAGCAAAGGCAAGTAGGACTTGGGTATAAGGCCTTTGTTGCAGCATGCTCTATGAACCCCATTGGGTAGCCCTGAGATGTTACACTGAAGAGCTGAGAGGAAAACTGCCACTGTGGTGGGTCTCGTGGGAGGAGAGAACATGCTGGGAAGAGCTGGGCAGTTTTTTCTCTAGACATTGACTGCATTGAGGACGGGAGTTAGGGGACAGTGCAGACTCTCTGCCACAATGTGCTGCTGCTGGTCAGGGAATGGCATCTCCTGTGGGAGGCTTGGAGTCTTTCTCCATCAGCAGATCCTGACCAGCCTTGTCTTTCTGACTTTGGAAAGTGGTTCCTCTGACATTGGTCAAATGTCTTCACAAAAGCCAGAGGCAAACCTGGTGAGAAGACAGAGGTATTTTGGTGGGTTGACCACGTAGCTGAGAAATTACAGGTTCTGTTCCTTCCTTGCCATCTCACGCTCTCTGTTTCTGTGACATCTGTAGTATCGAGCTGTCACCAAGCACCAAGGCTACTTTCAGACTGGCCTCTCTTTCCTGTCCCAGGAGCATCAAGGGAACGTTGCTTAGGATTCCCAAGGTTTAAGGGGATCGTTGTCTCAACTATTTTCCCCTGGCAGGGAGCATATTCTGTAGCAGGCTGGGAGCAAGGGATGGATCATGCCAGGTTGTGACAGACTGGAGCACCATGCAGTGACAGTCTGGCAGTCTCAAGGCTGTTCTACCTTGGATTAGTGCAGTGAGTCAGGTCAGAATCTTGGCCAAGATTTCTTCCTAAGAAATACCAACGTGTTTATAGACCTGTTTCTTAAAAATAGCAAGCCAGCGTGCTTACTTGCTTACTTGTCACAGGTAAAGGAGAGGTGTTTGTGGCTTCTAGTGCCTTCAGGGGTTCTGCTGGTGTGAGCACCCTGGGGAGGTCTGGCAGCAGATGAAAGGCACTGATCATAACATGTGTTTCCCAATTAATGTGCACAGAGATGTCAGGGCAAGAAAGATCATGAGTTAGAAACTAGCATCTGAGAGATAGTAGTGTGTATTTTAAATACATTATACTGTACAGTCTGTGCATGAGCTGTCCCTAAAGGAGTCCCTTTTCCTAGCTCTGTGTCTGGCACAGGGGTTCTGCTGCACTGTATGTGCTGGCCTCCCAGTAGTATGCAGTAACATCTCGTCACCTTAACATTGGCATGTGACATGAGATCCAAAGACGCCTAGAAAATACACTCAGATGCCAGAACACTGTTAAGATCTAGATTATCAAGGAGGCTGGAGAAAGAATGTTGTCCCCACTTACAATAGCAGGTTTACATATCTGAAGCAGGTGATTTTGTTGTGGGGTTTTGTTTGTGGGGTTTTTTGGTTTGTTTGTTTTTTGTGGGTTTTTTTTCAGGGATGGTGAGCTTACCTGGGGGAGGCCTTGGAGATGTAGTTGATACGCAGCAGGGTGGGAGAACGCTGCTGTATGTATGGCAAGGGGTTATACATATAGGTTTTGGGTGCACAGGAGCCGCACCCTGCAATCACCATGGATGCACGGTGTGCTCTTTGCTTTGAATTTGTTCCTTGGGCAAAGAGCAGATCCTAAACTTCCCTTGGGGCTTGAGAGGAATCCAGCTGCGGTCAGTGGGGTAGGATATACGTGTATCAGGTAAGAGATGTGATATTTAATGATCTGTTCATAGAATGTGCTGTTCATGAATCCACACAAACATGCCTCCTAATCTTTCTTCTTTCTGTTCTTGCATCTGGAATTTTACAGGCTGCAACTCCAGGAGAGAATCCACATCCTCCACCATGATGTTTCATACAGTAACTCTTTTCACTGTTATAATCCCCTTTGTCTTTCTCCCTTTTTACTTTGATGGGGGGAAGCAGGTGTGAGAGACAGCCAAGGGACCACCTTGGGATGCAGGTGTCAGGAGGGTGTTGAAGTTAATAGAGAAAAAGGTCAGTAAGAAGTGAGCCAGTGAAGTTTTTCCCTTCAGAGATTTCCAGGCCAGATGATCAGCTGAGAGAAGTCCCTGACTACATTAGAAGGTGAATTGTTCCTGGGTTTAGGTGTCTGAAGGTTGTGCCTGAGCTGGTAGTCCAGGTGCTCTCTAGTGTTACTGGGGAGAGGCAAATATATACAGAGTGTAATTCATTCCGTGCTGACATGGATGCTTTAGATAAACATGTATGTTCCTTTGTCTCCGTTGATGTTAGAGGGAACCCAGATATTTAGCTTAGATTAAATGCCCAGCCTTATTCACTTGAAATTAGGTGAGCTGAACCAGGAAGGATACCTATTGTCTTCCCTGGACCTGGCTGAAACCAGTTAAAACTGCCATTTGGTGAGGCTTATCCAGTTAAGTAGATACGTGCTCAGCTGTTTCTTAGCCAGGAGCTGTGGAGCCAGGAGCTCCAGCATTGTAGATTCATTAGTGCACCTTTCTGACACTATTGATTTTGACACTGTACTACCCCTGAGGGGTATGTCTGCACAGTCTTCTAAGTACAAATCTGAGTTTGTGCTGCCCGTACTCCAAACAGCAGTAAGCCAGCCAGCTCCAGTCCAAAAGCCATGTAGCTGTGTTGGCATCGCACCTGCATGGGTAAGCCCTGTGCCAAGAGGCTGGCCTGAGGACAGTGCCACACTCACATGGTTACATGATGTCTGATTCAGGGCTGCTATGTGTCAGTCCAGACAGTAGCATGAGCGTAGCGAGCTGAACCTTGTCTGCAGAAGAGCAAACCTTTAGATGGTTGATGCTGCTGAGAGGGCCTGGCTCTTTTGCTCATTAGAGGTCCTTCTGCAGCTCTGATAAGAGGAAGGATATGCATCCCGACAGCTAGTCTAAGCTCCCACTTAGGTCTTTGTGGGCTCTCTCAAGTTCCAGTTGTTGCTTTAGATCCAGATGGGCACAGAGCTCCGGAGCATCAAGGTCTGTGCTTTGTAACATGTTCCGCTAAGCGGGGCTGTTGATATGCAAAAATGATACTTTGCCTGTGCTTAGCTTTGTATCACTCTTGCATTCAAGGTGGGAGAGTAAGCAGGCCAGGCTATCCCAAAAAGAAATAGGACAAAATTTTATTAGAGAAAAGCAGAGCCAAACACACATGGGCATGTGTCTGGAGGGACAGTTTCCTGGATAGGATTTTGACACTGAGCTTATAGGGAAGATTGCTATGGTTGAGAGCTGGTTGTGATGCTTTTTCTTTTCTAGATTCTGCCAAGCAGCTGCTGCTCTGGGGCCCCACAGACTTCATAGTCAGTAACCCCCCATATGTCTTCCATGAAGACATGGCTTCCTTGGACGCAGAAATCCTCCGGTAATCAGATAAACAGATTTCTCTTCTCCTGTTCCTTGAAGCAAGGTTTTCTGCCTGCTTCCTTATACTACACACAATTGCACACAAAACATGCAAATGTAGTATACATTTGTATACAGTACATAGTGTAGATGTGTTTATATGGCCTATAATAATACAGTGTTACTTTGATACTGCTTACAGTCTGAAACAGTATCAAAGTACTTTAATTTTTTATAAAAATGGAAAAAGCACACACTTTGAAATTAACAAGTTTCCAATTCAAAACTGTTTCAGAACATTTTTCCTGTTAGACTTTATTTTTTGTCTCCCAATAATTGGTGTGAGTTTATGAAAGAAAGTACAAGTAATCTGAGCAGCTTTTTGTGATGGAAAAAAAGCTTGGGTGGAAGTGCTGTGACCCATTCTCATCCCAATACTTGTCTTAAGCAAACAGACCCACACAAGCATGAATAAGCTCTTTTGGGATGTGGAACTACTTTGTGTGTGCTGGTTCTTCCTCAGAATTGATTGTCATGCGTGTCAGCACAAAGTCCTGCACCCACCTCTGTACCCCAGCAGCAGATTCTGAAAGCTGAGCTTTCTACATAATCATTCGCTCTGCTAGGTTGCAGTCCAACCTGGTTGCTGGCATGGTTGAAATAAAGCAAGTGATCCCTTGCTGTACAACCCACTGTCTCCCTGTCCAGCTAGCACAGAGAGAACAGAGCCACGTGTTGGAACTGTGTGACCCTGGCTGCAGTTGGCTTGTAATTTTCAGGAAGAGTTCAGGGGATGTTTTCTGCTTGTGCTCAACATGGAGTTTCTCAGCCTAGTGGTAGCTGCCTTCTTACTCTCTGTATTTCACATAAAAGCTATGAGTGCTGTCACCTGCTATAGGAGTACTGGAGTTCAGGTGTGTTAGCTGGACCTTTCTCCACGGAGTGTGGGGCAATGCATCCTCAGGGGCACGGCTCATGCCACGTGAATTGCTGTTAATGTCTTTTTATTCCCACGTTACAGCTATGAGGACCTTGATGCACTGGATGGGGGAGATGATGGGATGAGAGTCATCAAAACAATTCTGGCTCTGGCTCCTTCTCTTCTGAAGGACTCTGGGTAAGCACTGTTCTCTGTTTGAATTTCATGTCTTTCGTCCACTCACTTCTACAACTTCTGTTTTCATACAGAAGGTACAGAGGGAAAATAGTTGCAAAAATGTCTGTGTCCCACCCCCCCGCCCCATCTAATAATAGCAGTTTTAAAAAGTCATGTGTATAAGCAAAATTAGATTGAAATTGATTAATAAAGGCATATGAGCCTTCCTTGACCAGTGGTGGTGTTTCATAGTCATTAGTGAAATGAGAATCTTTAAAGGTCAAAGCAGCAACAAAAAGAATATGAAAGAGAGCAGCAGAGAAAGAAACAGTGCAAAAAAAAGAGGAAGCTTTCTAAACAGAATAACTGATTGAAGGAGAAGCAATATAGAACTCTGTGAGAATGGATGTAGATCTCTACTTCCCTCCCATCCTTTAATTAGGGGAAACTTGTTTATTGTGCCAGGATACAATGCTGAATGTCCCAGGAGAAAGGATCAGGGAAAATCAGAGAAATCAGCAGGGATAGTTTCTTAAACATTAAACTTCTCCATGGTTAATACTTAAGACTGATTGTTACTATTCTCTGTCATGTGGGATCCATTTTGTGCTTAAAGATCAACATGCTGATACCCAAAAGTCTGTTGTGCCAGGGCATTCACATATCCTGTTGAAAATTCCTGACATTTTACCAGCATAAGAGAGGTCACTGAAAATCTGCTGTTTTGAGAAGAGGAACAGGAACATTGAGAAGCATACTGCATGCAGAAGAATTCATTCCTTGTGTTTTGCATGAGTACAAGAGCAGAAGATGCTCCTCAGAACTTCCCAGCAACAGAGATTGATCCCGTGGGGTGGGTTGTTAGGATTATTTTTTTTTCCTTCCATTTTTGCTTGTTTTATAAGGTGGAGTCCCCGTTGAGGAGTGGAAGTTTTTTAAGGTCAGGAATGAGATCCACACCCAGCTTGTAGTTAGTTCGGTGAATTTATAGGGAGTATTCAGTGTGGGACGTTTTAGGAATTCTCAGGAGAGCGTATGATTGGGGCTTGGCCTTTGTTCTTTGCCTGTTAAACTTGTATCTTGCCGCACTGTCACAGGCTGTAACCAGTTCCATCGTCTCCATGTGCCTATGAGCTAGGGTGGTTCTGCCTTGTCGTGGGAGTGGAGACTCAGAAATGGGCCAGTGTCATAAAGCCTGGCTGCAGCAGAGATGGAAATAGCCCTGCAGTGTGCAGGCCGAGTCCTGGTGACAACTGAGGTTCTCCGATTAGTTCCCTTATCGCTGCTGCACTCTCCTTTGTACAGTCCTCTATGTAGGTCTGAATGCTGGTGGTGTTTTCATAACTGATTTATGGAGACATTTACTGTGGGAAAATGTGTGTACTAACTTGTACTTTATGACTCTCACTACTAGGATTTAATGTCACCCTGCTTATACAAAGAGGAACTTCATGCTGCCAGTCCAGTGTTCATGCATTTGCATCATAAAACTTCATTCTGGCCTTAAATCGTTGGGGGCTTCAGAAAGACAGAGCTGGCGGTATCTCTGCATGGGGTTCAAAAGGGATCCTTGCATCTCTGTCCAAGGGTTTAACTGCTCACACAGAGGAGTACCATGAGAATTCCCCCTAAGATCAACACTTTCTGCCCCAAAGGAGGCAGTTAGGATCTGTATCTTAAATGGAAAGCTATGATCTGTTTTAGGATTATTGGATTGCAGTAGGGGATTGCAGTTTGGTGATATTCTCATTTCCTGCACTGATAGGAGTCATCCAGAAAGAAAGACCTTAATTTTTATCGGTTTAGCAACCTAAATGTGTGCATCTCCCCACTTTCTACTCCCAAATGTGTCCTTTCAGGAGCGTGTTTCTGGAAGTTGATCCCAAACATCCAAATATGGTGGAGAACTGGCTACAGGCACACCCCAACTTACTACTCGTCCTTCGTGCCATTCACAAGGACTTCTGTGGCAAGTAAGTCCTTTTTACCTTCAGACTTTTGTTTCAGGTATAATCTGTGTCCTTTGTAGATTACATCCCTGCACCCTGATGTATTGAATGAACTCAGCCAGAGAAAGTCCACAGCTGAAGCCAATCTTTAACAAAACAGGGGTTCCCTTCAAGTATCTCAACCTTCTCATATCATGAGATAGCCTGGCAAGTGTTTCTGAGTCAGAAATTCTGATGCAGATAAGAGTTTCTGATGGGGTGACTAGCTCTGGTGAGAGTATCGCCATTGGAAAATTGCTGCTTTTATAGGATGGAGGTAGAGGCATGTTCTCCCTAGCAAGATTTAAAGCTCTGATCATTCTTTTTCCCACAGGCCTAGGTTTCTGCACATCCAAAAACAAAGCAGATGACAACTGTACCAGAAATAACTCTTCTTGCAGTATGCTTTTGG